AAAAAAAAAAAAAAAAAGACAAATTTAATAATGAATGGCAGGGGTACTGGAAGGTCAATGCCTCAGGATAGGCATAGAAGGACCCTGGGCTAGAGACCATTTATTGTGTGTACACAATAGTGGGAAGGGTCATCAGATGACTCAGAGGGTGGCAGTGACCGTACTTTAATGTGGATCTCTATGTTGATAAGCATGCTGGGGACTGATGGCGGGTTAAGAGTTTGTCCTTTCTCCAGAGTGAAGCCCTATTTTGATTACTACCGGATTTTCAAGGAATGAGGATGTTTTCAGCTAGTGCAGCCCTGCCCTGGGATATCACAACATCACAGTAACATGGAGGCCTCCATTAAGGCCTCCTGGCCCTAACCTCTTTATTTATTTTTATGTATAGGCTCTCACCACACAGCTCAGACTTGTAGTGATCCTCCTGTTTTTCACCCTCCCCAGCGCTGATTACAGGCCTGTGCCACCACACCCGGTCTCAGTGGCCAGCACAGCATGCCCAGGGGCAGGAGCTGACATGGCATGCAGTGCTGGGGATCTAACCCAGTCCCTGTGCTTGCCCAAATAGGCCCTTAGTCCGCTGAGCTATCTCACCAGCCCTCTAACCTCAGTTTGTAATTCATAGTCCCCAACAGATTTTTGTTTGTTTGTTTGTTTGTCTTTTGAGATAGATCTTATTTGTGTAACCCACACTGACCTCAAAAGCTCACAGTGATCCTTCTGCCTCTGCCTCCAGTGTGGTGGATTACAGACATATGCCACCTTGCAGGGTTATTACATTAATTTAAATCATTGTTTTTCTTGGTTTTTTTCCCCTACTTTCCTTGGTTTTAATATAGTCCCTAAAAATATAATATCTTGACATGGATGCTAAGGTAATTTGTTTTTAACCTTTCTTCTTTTGTGATGTATGCATCTAATGGTGTCATTCCCTCACCAGTCATTACTTTGACTGTAAGGCAGAAGTTTTGGCATATTATGTTTTGGGGCTGGGGAGATATCAGAGGACTAAGTGCCTGCCTGGTAAGCACAATGACCCAGATTTGATTCCAGTACCACATGCCATGTTGACCCCGAACCCAGGCATGGTTGCATAGTGCTGGGGAGGCTGAACAGGAAGGAGGGTCACTATGAGTTAGACCTGTAGGGATACTCTGTATCAAATAAACAAATAAAAAAAATGTTTTTGCTATGATTCAACTATAAATATATTCTAATATCCATTGTTAAGTCTGCGAAGTACATCTCTAATTTTTCAAATACATATTGTTGTTAGTGATTTGTGTCATAATTTCCTTGGTGGCAGAAAATATATTCTGTATACTTCTAATCCTTTGAAATTTGTCGAACTTTCCTCATGGCCAAACATATAGTCAATTTTTGTAAATTTTCATATTTGCTTAATTGTTTGGCATAAGGATAAATGTGTATCACACAAACATATGTATACATATCTCACATATGTGGTGAGAGAGACAGCAGGCAAAGCTTGCTATTTGGTTAATGACTTAAATATCAGGCTGGCCTGATAGCTCAGCGGGCTAAAGCGCTTGCTTATGTAGAGCGCAGCAGCGGCTGGGGTTCAATCCCCAGCCTGGTGTGCCGGCCTTGCTCCTGGGGCACACCTGTAATCCCAGCAATTGGGAGACTGAACACAGGAGAATCACTATGAGTCCAATCTATGTAGTGAGACCCTGTAGACCCCATAGACCCGGTCCTAATTACAGAAAGAAAGAAAGAAAGAAAGAAAGAAAGAAAGAAAGAAAGAAAGAAAGAAAGAAAGAAAGAAAGAGAGAGAGAAAGTGTGGGGTTGTGCCTCACTCTCAAGACCATCCTTGGAAACCACGATCTGGCTCAGGGTGTCACTGCATCCGTGCTTGTACTCACCCCCCACCTTTATCCAAATCCCTTGTGGCTGGATGTGTTTTGAAATTTAGAAATTCTAGGAGCACTTTGCAAAATAATATGGTGTATTCAGTGAATATTATATATTATATTATACTCCTTGAGGGTGATGGTTTGTCCTGTAAGCAGAAAATCTAACAGATTTTCCTTGGCAGAACATGTGAATAGTGACAGTAAGGGGAATAAGGACTCCAGATAGCCATTTATAGATGGCTATAAATGTCTATTCAGATCAGATCTTGATCCAAAATACATAGTAAAGCAGTTTCAAGTTTGCAAATTTTCTAAATTTTGAATTGTGGTTAAGGGTCTATGAACCAATAAGAGGAAAGAGCTGAAAACAACTTGAGTAGACATCATCAAGAAAGTGAATTGAATAATTAAACACAGGAGAATAAGAGATATACAATAGTATTTCAGTTATTCTTCTGTGTACAGCAGCAAAGTATTTCCATCAACACACTCTACAAATGGACTTCTCTTCCACCCTATGGGTCATAATTCCATCTGGGTCTACAGGGTGGATTTCAAAGAAATAGCTGTAGCTCAGTCTCACAAGTGACCCCTGGCCACCAGTAACTGTCATGGTCATTATGCATGTCCACAACACACTAGAACTTTGTGCGATATCCTATCCTCAAACTGTTAGAAGTGCTGGTCATTTATTTGCCATTCCAGTATTTATCTTATGTTTTACTCTTAGTACTTCTTTGCTATCATGAAAACTTTTTCTTAGTTCAATTGTTTTGAAACATTTAATTTTTAATTAGTATTTAATTTTCTGAATATTGCTTAATCTTAATTTTTGTTCTAAGATTTATACTATGTCTTTGACTTACAATTTATTTAAAATATATTGTACGATATCTTCTCTTAGTATTAGAAACTTTAAAAAGTATATTTCTATTTTCTATTGACTTTATATTACTTCTTCCCTGTCTTTTATACATGCATACACACACATATATATGAAAAAAAATGTGTATAATCCAACATAAGATTAGTACTGTTTCACAGAAATCTTCAATGACCTTTATTTTTTTTTTCAAGTTGGAATTGAAAAAATATTTT